TCTCTTTTTTTATTTTGGTTCTTTATTGTTGGTTTCTGGTATACTGAATTTGTGGATTCCAAAAAATAAAATAAAATAAAATCGATGACTAAAGTCAAAAACGCAATTGCGAATCTGTGATGTGAATAATATGTTAGCAAGAGATGTAACTCGTTTGATTGGGATTTACAAGAAGGACGAGCACGAAAATTGAAGTTCGCGTTGTCTGGCTCGATTGATGTTGTAGTTTGAGGGGCTCACATTTCTGGAATGTGTTGATGGTTAATGATTTGGATGTAATTTATGAAATGTAATGAAGTATTCAGTAATCAGCAAGCCACTATCTTTTACTAATACTACGATATAGAATACCTCTAATATATATATATATATATACAATTCCTAAAGAAAGAGAACAGCAAAACTTTATAGAGAGACATGTACCCAATCTAATTGCATGTACAATTTCTAAAATAAAATTACTAGCCAAAAACTACGTGCAATCAAAAGGTACATCAAACAAACTGATATATGAGATTACTAAATTATTAAGAGCTTAATTCTATTTGACATAATTTTAAAATTAATTGTCTACTGAATAAGTTCGATGTGATGAAAATTAAACTAATCAATGGTGAACCCTCTTTGCAAATGCAAATGCACGCTTAGTTTCAATCCAACGCTTAAAATGCACACACAACATCGCACGCTATCACTAACACTACCGTTTAGCACCGCATGCTTTTTTGTATGGGAAATAATGGTTGTAAATTTAAATGTTCAATATATGCTATTAGAATTCAATAAGCAAAAAAGACTATAAAATCAATCATACTTAACTATCTCCAATGCACATATGAGGGTATTAAAAACCAACAAAAATGTGGACAAAAGACAATACACCAAACTATTAAACCCAGCAAACTAGTCAGAAAAAAGAACCCAACAAATTAACCCTTCAACCCAAATTTTCCAAAAACTCCACCTACTCATGGTGCCCATTGGGAACCCTGAGCACTATTCCTAACTCCCGCTCCTTCTCTTCTGTTTTCCATGATTAAAATACCAATGAAGTTAGCTATACTTCTCCTTGACTTCTATTCAAAATAATAATCCATCTTAATGAAATTTGATATTTTGGTATTCCTATGTTGGTTAAATACGGCTCTTCAAAAAATTAAAAAGAAAAAAGACTTTTATCAGATGTAATAAAAGAAGAATATCCCCGATCTTGCAATTACAAAAAACACATCCGCACACAATTACTTTTTCCTCTTATGTTGTTGTTCAAATGATTTTTTTTTTGTTTTCAATAATGTAGTTAATACGAAAAAAATCTAAATAGAGGGAATATAACAAATATAAATATGTGCAATGCTATGGTAAGTTGGGTGGAATGTAAATATAAAAAAAATTAATTATTTTACACGAATACTAGAATCAACAGAAGTGGCAATTACAAGTATGGAAGTGCTAAAATTAGCTCCCTAGCTCTTAATATAAATACGTGCGACGGTTTGGTATCCCTTTTTGCTTTTATTGTATTTTTTATTTGGTTATTTACAAAGCACTTTGTTTGGAAGGAAGGAAATGAAGAGAAGACAAGACAAAATTAGAGAAATTAGCACATTTCCCTCATTTGAGAGATTTAAGTGAATAAAAATTGAGAAAAATATAGAGATGAAAATCTAAGAAAACTCTCTCTCAAAAAGCAGAGAGAAATGAGAGAGATTGTGGGTGAGCATTTAAAGCCCTGAAAGTGCTACTCTTCTTTCCTAACTTCAGCATTTTAATTTTCTTTTTTCTTTTCTCACTGAACTCGCAAACCAAAAAATTGTTAGACTGAAGGCACTGGTGGAGCATTTGAATGACACCAGAAGCAGCATGTGCGGTTAAAGATTTCGGGGTCACAAATGATTATTAGCACTCTTAATTTGGTATATGCGCAGTTACTGAGGATTAGGACCACCATTATGGATATCTTATTAAGGTAATTGCCGTCTAGTCGAATGTCGAAAACATTAGGACCACCATATACCATATGGGGTGTCTGCGCGTGTTTTTTGTTTTCTAAGGTACACGGACCACCATACTACTTGCTCTCCAATTTAATCCGTCTTGGCTTTGTAGAAGCTAGAAACTAGTTTTTTTTTCGGTATTTTCTTCAACATTTTCCCTAGTAATTAATGATTAAATACCCTCTTAATGTTCTATATATTTTCAGGACTAATTTTTAATGATTTGGAAAAGGTTAAAACAAAGGAGAATAACTTCCGCGTCTTGCATATACATACCAATGTTTTGAAAATTGGACCGAATTGACCGATCGGACCGAGAATCGGTCAAGTTTTCGATTCAATTCACTACTAGTGTTGACTTATTATAAAAAATCGATCAAAATTGCTAAAAATCGATCGAACTGTTTAACTCGAATTGATCCGTGGACCACAGTTTTTCATTTTCCCATCTTTTTTTTAAATGAACCTAAAGTTTTAAACATAAAACTTATCTATCGAATCTTTTGTTCGAAACCCTAATTTCTAAAAGAGTAATCAAACTCCTTCTATTTCTCACCCTCAAACTCAAAGATCGCCATTTTCTTTTGTAGTTCTATTAGATTTTGTTTAATTTCAAGAGTTTCAATGCATTTTGTTTAATTATAGAATATGGTTGTGATTTGCGTAGGATTTAAGATTTTTTTCCTAGTAGGTACGATTGAAATGAATTTATTTGTTTAAATTTATAATTTTAAAAATTTATTTATGTTTTAAAATATTTAATTTTTTAGCAGATGATGTCTTAAATTGGTCCATGAGATATCTTATTCTATGTACAAATGTGTGTCCATATATATATATGTGTGTGTGTGTGTGTTTGTATAACGAAACATTGATGCACACACAAGTGGAAGAAGAACTACTTTAGTGCTTCATTGAGTACTGATACTCTACGCCATATATGAATAAGATTTGAAAGGGATGTATGGTGGCATAACGCCATTGCCAACCCACAGATCTTGAGACTTCAAACAAACTTGTTTAATTCGTAAGGCACCAGATGCATAAATGATTTCGCGAGAAAAGATATTCCATCAATTGGGAAGACCAACCAAAAAGCAGTAACATCTTGATCGTAGACAGCAGAGGGGCCACAGGACACGTTATTACTTATTATAAACTCTGGCATGTCTTTTATGGGCAATGGATTTTGCCTTTCTTTCGTAACCTTCGATTTATTAAAGCTAATGTTTGGGGTGGGCCGTATTAATGACACCAAGCAAACTTATGTTGTTGTCACGGGAATGATAAGTGCCAACTTCCCATGGGCCAAAAGTCATTTAATTCTGAATCGTTGTGTACGATAATCCAAGAAACTTGATCAAGAAGGTGGCCTAGATATCCTTCAAATTGCTGTGTTTAAGCATCTCCAGATTGTCCTAGAGCGACAGCCCAACGGACTGCATGAGATTCTTCTTCCGACGCACCGCTTACCAATAGCCGATGCAATAAAAGTAGTTACCCTCAAATCAATTCCTGGGGAAAAAAGGTATTATCATGTAATTCTGGAACCAGTCCTTCGGCTTGGTGGTCACTGCCAAGTATTTAAATTTTGATGGTGTTGGGAGGTCAAAAATCCAATCTTTTTCTCTCACCAAATTGTCACTATAAATGACTGCCTTCAATGGCTTCCTTCGATGGAATTTCTATTCCCATTGGCTTCCTCTCTCTCTAAATTATGATAGATTAGGTTATAAGAATGTTACCGTTGCAATAAAAAAAAATGTGAATGCTTACGTTCATATGATAAATTAAGTATAAAAAATGTGAAAGCTTACTCATTAGAAAAGTACAAGTATATATAATGTTTAATTGTGAGACCATTTTCAATTAGGTGGTTGTTCGTATTATGATGAGATGGAGAAAATCAAGAAACTACCCTAAGATGGAGGGATTGCGTTATAATGGACTGCAGACTTGGTAATTGGCTAATTGCAGCTCTTTTATATTCAGATCGAAGATTGATATGTGTCTGACAGCCAGTTTCAGCTTCGACCCACCCCAATTTAAAGCAGAAAACAATAGTTAGTGTTAGTCAAGACGGAGATTTGCTTAATTTTTTATTAACTAATTTATTCAACTCTCATAGTTGTAACTGATATCACCTTGAGTTCAACCTTAGTCAGAACTACTTTCGAAACTGGCTAATCGTCAAATTGTAACAAGAACAAGAAAATGCCGGAGTTAGCCATCCATAGTAACTTTCAGCACTTTTTATTGGCTAGCAATGAATACAAGCAATTGTCTTTAATTACCAAAAGTTTCCTACCTGCTAGCTAGGTCAGAGTAAAAATTGAATTCAAAACTTTTCTCTTCTCTAGACTAGAAAATAGAAGCAAATGAATCATTTACCTATCTATCTGCAGCAATGCGTTTAAGATATGCTATGAACTTTCAAATTAGCTGCAAATTATATATAGTAGGTTTTTGGTCGTGCGTGTGTGGTGTTTTTGTCCTTCGGGTTGGTCGTTAAGGTCCTTAAAGAGCACATGGAGAGGAAGTTGGAATGTCAAAGATATGGCCTCCCGGCTCCAAGGGAAGGAATGAGAGCCGAGCACAAGATACAAGATTTTGAGTAGTTGTCCAATTCCTGTTTCCAAACTCTTCCTTCATATATGGGGCTTGTAAAATTAATGCAGTTTAGTTAGCGGGTTTATATAGCTTTGATGCTTCCCTTCCTGCTGCAGAAGTAATAGGCCCTCGTTCTTCCTGCTTAACTGCAACATTGGTTCAATCCAAAATACTATAAGATCTTGTGTTTTTCCTTTTAGAGAACGTAACGTATAATGATGTTTTATACTTATCTTCATCTACCTGTTGATTCGTAGTGTAAATTTGACTTTGGCAGTTGGATTTAATTTAGAATTCAATCCAAATCCTGTATGTATTTAACTTTTTTTTTTCTTTTTTTTTTAACCCTCTCACCCCTCCTCACTTCCTTCTTATCCTTAATTATCAAGATCAGAAACCTAATCGGAAAAACCATAACAATCCTCCCCTATGTATATAGTATTTAACTTGGCAATACTAATTACCAGTTACGTCTCCGTTTCCAAGAATGTTTTTCTTTAACTTGCTTTAGTTCTTTACGACAACAGAAATTGAATTGGAATTGTATTCTAAAATTTTCACAGTTGCAAACTACAAATACGAGTAGTTAGAAGGGTAAATAAGCAGGAGTAGGACATTGCAATTGGTCAGTTGGAGAAAGCAGCAACGCCGCCGCGTTGAGCGTCCTCCGCCCTTGCGGTAGTGCCAACTGCCAAGGAGATTCTCATATTCAGGGTACGTACGTATGAGTTATCTTTTACATTAGGATTAGGACGAGAAAAAGCCTGAAAAAGATTATGAAGGGTGTTTTGTTCTTTAAGTCGAAACCTAAGGCTACCCCTGCTGACCTAGTTCGACAGACTCGTGATCTCCTCAGCCATGTCAATTCTGCGCCAAACACTTTCCAAAGCCAAAGCCAAAGCAAACGCCAAGTAAATATGATAAATACCATCGGCAAGCTATTGGAAGATTTGAAGTTAATTCTTTATGGAGATAGTGATACTCAACCCGTAGCATCAGCTTGTGCGCAATTGACCGAGGAGTTCTTCAGGGAAGATACCTTATGCCTTCTAATTATTTGTCTTCCAAAGTTGAAACTCGAGACCCGCAAGGATGCTACGCTACTGGTTTCAAATTTGCTTAGGCAAAAGGTCCGTTCGAGGTTTATTGCTTGTGATTATTTGGAACAAAATCTCGAGTTAATCGATGTTTTGGTCGGTGGTTATGAGAATAATGGCATGGAGATCACGGCTTTACACTATGGTTCTATGCTAAGGGATTGCATACGCCATCAAGATCTTGCAAGGCATGTCTTGGAATCGAAGCTAATGATGAAGAAATTTTTCGATTACGTGCAAGTTGCACGTTATGAAGTTGCTGCTGACGCTACCGAAACTTTTAAGCAATTGTTAACGAGGCATAAATCAACTGTGGCCGAGTTCCTATCCAAAAATTATGATTGGTTTTTCGTGGAATACAACTCTAAGTTGCTTCAATCTCCGAATTACCTTACCAGAAGGGAAGCCGTGAAGTTGCTGGGAGAGATGCTGATGCATCGCTCAAATTCAGATGTCATGTTGCAATATGTTAGTTCGAGGGACAATTTGAGGATTTTTATGAATCTTCTCAGGGACTCCAGCAAGATCATTCAAGTTGATGCGCTTCGAATTTTCAAGTTGTTTGCTGCTAATGAAAATAAGACCCCAGAGATTGTTGGGATTCTCGTGGCAAACAGAAATAAGCTTCTACAGCTCCTCTTTGCAGAATTGAAGATTGACAATAATGGGGATCCACAATTGCAGGCTGACAAAGCCCAAGTCGTTAAAGATATTTTTGCACTGGACGTCAAGGTTAAGGCGTGAATAGTATTGGTGTTGTTTGTTGTTATTTTCTTCCCCATTGAAATTTTGCAGGTTTAGCTTTTACATCCCCCCCCCCCCCCAACAAAAAAAAATCCCCTCTCTTTTTTTGAGGTACTTTGCAACAGTAGCGGTTCAGTGAGTAATTATAGATCCCAAGTTTTCTTCTTCCTTTTTTGCTTTTTTTGGTTGTTTTGGGTATATATTCTTTGAGAGCTTGATTCTCTGCTAATATAGGATGAACTTTAGACTCCATTAATTGTTCCATATATTACATCTACATGCATGCATGCACTCATGCATACAGATAATCAAAGCATTGGATGCCAATTTCAAAATGAAGAATTTGCTTCAAGAAAAAGAGAGAATCCTAAGCACCTTTTCTTCTGTCGGGGCCACCTTTAGTTCTTAACGCCCACTTAGTTATTCGTTACACAAAATTGAAGACCAAAATCTATAAGTTAACAACGTTTGAAAAGCAAACAAAAGAAAAAAACCGCTCCCGGATTCTGACACATATAAAATACAAGTTAAGTTATGATATGGTACAATTTTCGGCATGCACGTAGCCGGCACACAACTCTATATCGCAGAGAATCGTCCAATACAATACTTAACAGAACGGACATAAATATTGAGGTTAATTAAGTGATTGACTAAGAGATGATCAGATGAATAAATAATGGAGAACCCAATAAATTAGATGCCATTTTGGTTTAAATCCATGCAGCAGCTCCTTCCTGTTGCAAATTACTGATATCCTAGCTGGTGTATTGGCATGTGCCATAACCTGAAAATTCAAAAACCAGAGACGAAGCATTCTAAGTACCATCCACGAATGGTAAACTGCTGATCAGAGGGAAGCATTGAGATGGAAAATTGTGTAGCAGCAATAAAAATAGAGGGACTTACTAGGGTTGGTAGAGGTGAGGAAACCGGTTTGAGAGAAATCACAGTTATAGTCAGCTTTGCCCTTGGATTGGTACCATGAGTTCATCACAAAAGCTGCATGAGACCTCACATTGTTGGGATTGAAGCAGGCGCCCTCGGCTTGAATCGGGCTGCAATCTAAGCCCTGGCTGCAAACGTAATCTATGTTGCTTTGCAGTGCGGCGTCTGTGGCCCCTGCCTTTGGCACGCACCATTTCTTGCCCTGCAATGCCGGTGCTGCTGGCACCGGAACTGGCTGTGGCGACTGCAAAATTAAATTCATCATCATACCGCTGAGCTTAATTTTATCGTCACTGTAATACTCCTACTTCTTTTCAACTAAGCAAATAACTACAGAAGAATGAGAAAAGATGATGCACTACTATACTATAGCATTTTCTTTGAATGGGGAGATTGTAGAGTACTCGGGGTAGTTTCTGATTGCTGTTTCTGAAGGTCAAAAGAAAATGGGACAAGATTTAGCCGACTGGTCCCTCCAAGACCCAGGGCCAAAAAAAAAAAGCAAAAGTGTAAAGGTGGAAAGGGTTAAAGGCAACAGCACAAGATTCCTGTCTGACTCATTTTAGAGAGGGCATCGAGGATTAGAACCATTCCGACTCTAACATTCCACAAAGTAGAAGAATCAAATTTCTTCTGCTAATTCAAACATTTTTTTTTACGGTTAGTAAATTTTCCAGCCTAAGTTGTCTTCTGCTTTGCATTGGTACCACTACAACATGCAAATTTTAATTAATTGGATGATGCAGTTATTTATTTATTTATTTAGTCATTTATGGATTTGAAATTTCACCCAATGAATCTTCGTCAGAAGAATCATTTATCGTCCCAAGGTTCAACGCGGAAATCGGAGCAGTCCAACACGGAACAGATGTAGCCTTCGCCAGAGCCCCACACTCCTCTATTTTTCACATTTCGCTATCCCGTAATTTTGTCAAACATATGAGGTTGAAATGGGATAAAAGTTCAAATGCGGTGTCCCTACTCCTCCTAAAGGCTAAAGCCTAAAAGCAAAACAGACAAACGATGCTTCGTGTTCCATGTTCAAATGTCGGCCTAATTTTTGAAGATTCCAATAACAAAACAGACAAATGCTGTGTTTAAAGTAAAGGGAGGAACTTTACCATAATTCATTATCAATAGGCAATCTTCAGTGAAAGGACTCGTATTTGAAGGATTGATTATAGCAGAATTAACACGCATAAATTAAATGCAGATATTGGGGTGATTTTCAATTCATCTTCTAATTGCATTATGGTAAGGCGTGGACGGAGTACTAGTAAAAAGGGCATCTATGAAAAGACTTCAAATTCAAGAGACGGCATAAGTACTTCATAATTAAGGCAATAATAGTTATAAGAGTCCGAATTTCATACCTGTCCCCCCCGCATAATTCCAACGTCATAAACAGGAGTAAAATCAGGCCTGAACAATCCCCAGCTTCTCTCAGCCAATGAACCCGGTTTCTGATTCTCATTGAACAAGGCAAAAATGTACGTCTCAATCTTCCTGTGCGGCATCAATGGAGTCCCAGTCCCAGAGTTGTACTTCTTCACCAATCCTCCGTTATACGCAGCAGCATTAGCAGGAGTGCATTGTGGCTCAAATGTTTCCCCTTCAGATGGCCAACCCGTCTCGGCTGCCACTATGTCCACATCCGCATATCCCAGTCTCTTCATAGACATAAAAACCGCATCCAACAGCAAATCAAACTGGTTCGTGTAACTCCTCTTGGAAAACCTGTCGTAATATCCTCTGTTTGGTCTGAAGAGATCGAAGTCAATCTCCTTGGGGTCGAAACCGAAATACGGGTACGGATTGACCATAAAAGGAGACTTGGTTTCGCGTAAAAATTGCAACATGGGTGCCAAAACACCTACATCCCAACCAGGCCTGAATTTAGCCAGGCTGGGCGGCTTAGCAGATTCGAGAATGCCTAGAGAATGTGGTGACGTCACCTTTATATCTGTGATGCCATTCTTGACGAGAGCCTGGTGAAGGGTCCTCATGGCAGCAACGAGGTTGTCGATTAGATTCTGGGGTCCCCAGTGGAGGACCTCATTTCCTACGGCAATGTAGTTGATTTTGGTTTGCGGGTAGAATGGCTTGATGTGCTCATTCACCCATCTGCGAGCGTATCTGATGTTGGTGAGGTTGGGGATCTCTCCGTTGGGGACCGTGACGGTGAGCAAGATTCCTGTGTTGGCGAAGGCCCGGATGATGTCGGGGTTGACATCGAATATCTTCACGCGGTCTATGAAGGTTTTGTCTTTGATGAATTGAACAACTTGAGCCGGTGGCGGAAGGTTGTCTGCAACGGTACCATAGTTAACACCTATCGATTGCACTGCTGAGAAATGTTGGATAAAAAGAGCAAATACAAGAAAGATAGCCATGGCCGAAGATGGTGTCCTCTTGGACATCTCCATATTTTTGTTATTATACATGTAAATAGGGAACAGAGATAGATATACAGGAAGGAGAGATGGGTTCCAGGTCTAACTTCTACCTCCCTAGTTCCTATATGTTACTTTAATCAGGAGGGATAGTGCATATTGGATTTGGCTCCGGCGTTTTATACCAGCACTTTTGATCTGTTTCAGACAAGACCAGTTGTTTTGTCTGTTGGAACTTGGAACGTTCGTGAGGCTGACCTTTAAGCTTGGGTGACGAAGTGAGAACACGGGAATCAAAAAGCCATCGGTTTGAAAGGAAAAGTAAGTGATTCGGAAATATGTGACGAGGCATAATAGCTCATCAATCATCAAATATTCTACGCGTTTTCCGCAATACTCATTATATGATAGGATGTTCTCTTGCCTTATCTAAAAGTTAAAAAAGAAAATGCCGTCCAGGTGGACAGCAAGAAGGAGACGCGAAGAAAACGATGGGAGTCTTATAATGCTGCGTAGGATGAGTGAATTGCTCGATTTTGGATAGAAATAAAAAATCTTGATCAAACTTGGCAATATTGAATTGGTTGGAGAAACCATACCGTAATCTAAAATTCTAAACGAGCATTACGGTGGCATAGAAGTCATGGGCTGTTAAATTTTTTTTTGGGCAGAATATTAATTTCTGAGACCTAAACTAATTTCACAAGCCCAATCAAAAGGTAATTACTGACGTTTGGCTACACTTCTGGCTGTTAAATGACATACGATAAATCTAGACTTTCCTCGTGTTTGGTCTTGAGACTTTTCAGAGGCATACTTGTCCACTTCGGCCTCCATTTTTGAGTGTTGGACTAGCAGCCTTTGGCCCATCCTATGCGCTGTCCGACGCCCAAAGGCTTATCAGAGCATTGCGTGCCTGGTGTGACAATTTCAGGCCCACATATATGTCCAACAGGCTAGAAAATTTTTTTTTAAAAAAAACGTTCCACATCTTAATTCGTCAAAATTAACTCTCCATTTAAGGCAAAAACTACATCTTACCTGAAGTCCTTTATTGCATCTGGATTTAGTAAATTCCTTCCTATTTTTTCAGAAACAAAAAAAAAATGATTTTTGTTTCTACTAGATAGGCATTGATCCATAAAGCATCCAACTGTGTAAGAGATAAGAGATGTACAGGGTCTTAATATATCCGCAGAATTGGTTGCCCATTAACTGGTCATTATCCATATAGTTGGTGGTGAAATGTCAATTTTTCCTTTCAATTTCCCTTCTCTGTAACATATGATGCACATAGTCGAAGGTCAAATGTCAGAGTCCTGGTTTATCCTCTTTGTAAAAACCCTAGTTGGGCTCGCCTTAGACATTAGTGTAGCTATTTTTTGTAAATTGTAAAACGCTTTTAATCAAATGCTCGAAACTTGCCCTTGGATGCCTGGTAACCATACATATTAGGAAATGCCCCATAAAGGGTTCCCCCAAGTGAGGGAATTGCCATATCCGAAGTCATTTCCCATCACTACAATCTGTAACACATATTCCAGTCCCTTAATGTAGTAAAATAAAATAAAATGAAAGGAACTGATTGATTGCAATTTGCAGCAACAGAAAGCAAGTAGCATGGATACGGTCAAAGAAATCATTTGACCACCGGAGAAAGCTTAACATGACCAATACAAGCAGCTCAAATTAACAATTGAAGTGGAAACCCGCAGAAGAGA